CAAGCCGAACCGGCAGGCACCGGCATCGGCGACTTTCCCCGGCGGGCACAGCGCGAAAACGGCCTCGTTTCAATCCTTCTTCATTGTGGCATTTCTCCGAGCACCTAGTGTGCATGTTTCTTCATTTTAAGTTATCAAGGCTGCCTGTTCAATCCCTCCTCCGGCAACCTTCCGACGACTTTCAAGACTTGATTTTAGGTTCTGTACCAAGAATAAATCATCCTCTATCAACATCAACTCACAGATTTGCTGTCAGATCATCACCGATCGGTGAGATACATGCTTAAAAAACCTTAATTATTTTTGTCTAAAACTAATATTTCCAGAATTCAAATCATTATCCTAATCGCCCTAGCCATCTAAATTGATCCAAAACAATATTCAAAACATCAAACAAAGGTTGGGAATCACTGACTTGGATAGCCTAAGGCTGCGCATGACAACTTGCCAATCAGTGTTTGATTCTGTTCTTTTGTTCCCAGAATCAGTTTGGGAACAGAAATGCGTTTGTTTAATTTTTTGATTCTGGGCACAATTTTGCAAAAAATTGTTCCCAGAATCAATTTTTAAGAATAAAAAAAAGTAGCTTCTTGATTATGGGAACAATTTTGAGAATCAATTTTTTTTTCTTCTTCATTTTCTTGGTTTTTAATGTAGCTTCTAATGTCCGGCCCGAGGACCGCCCTCGCCGGATCTGACGAGAATAAAATATTTTAATAAAAAAATTATTAATAAAAAAATTATTAAAATAAAAAATATTTTACCATCCATGGCCAAAAAAAAGAAAAAAATATATTTTTAATAAAAAAAAATATTTTACCTGCCATGGCCGGTGACCAGGCCATGGCAAAAAAAGAAAAAATATATATTTTTAATAAAAAGAATATTTTACCGGCCATGGCCAGGTCGCTGGCCATGGCCAAAAAAAATAAAAATGTATATTTTTAATAAAAATATTTTACAGGCCATGGCCGGCGATCAGGCCATGGCCAAAAAAAAGAAAAAAACATATTTTTAATAAAAATATTTTACCAGTCATGGCCGGCGACCAAGCCATGGCCAAAAAAAAATATATATATATATTTTTAATAAAAATATTTTAATAAAAAATATTATTAATAAAAAAAAATATTTTACCGGTCATGGCCGGCGACCAGGCCATGGCCAAAAAAAAGAAATATTTTACCGGTCATGGCCGGCGAGCAGGCCATGGCCAAGAAGGAGGAAAAGAAAAAAAGAAAAGAAAAAAAAGAAAGAAATATTAAAATATTTAACAATATTATTAATAAAAAAAAATTTTGTGGCGTTACCAAACGCATTTATGTTCTTTTTCTATTCTAGGGATGGAATTTTGGGCCGTTAACAAACGCCTTAAAATGCTCAGAATCAATTCCGGGCACAGAATCAAAAAGAATCATTTCTGAGCAGAATCTGTTCCCGGGCACAGAATCGTTGTCATGCGCAGCCTAAGTCATTTTGGCGCTCCGGCAAAGGTCTCCGAGTTCCGGCGATGAGGTTTCAATGTCGGATTGACTCGGTTTATTCCATTTAACAACCAAATGCAATTAAATAACACAAAATGTTATTAGAAACATGTTTTAGACATCAAAATATTCAAAATCATCAAAGAAATCGCATGGATGTTCACATTAAAGTCAAGCTCATTATCTGGAATTCTAGAAAAATCGTGGTAATGATCAAAGTTTACCTTCTTTGAATGTAATCAAATCGGAGTTCCTAGACTAATCGGTGCCCGTGGAGCTGTTCTTCGACACTCGGACTTCCAACTGGTGGTCTTAGCTTCGCCGGAAGGGCTCTGGACACGCTGGCCGAGCATGACTTTCAGGCAATGTCGATCAACCTCTCACCGACCGTCTTAGGTGAGGAAGCTTACCACCTGGACCGCTTTGCTGACGCTTTTCCAGCCGGGAAAGCGCCAATCACTCGGTCCGAGAAGCCTCAACTCATGCTCCATTCAATCTTTCTTCTTCTCGCTCTCTTTCTCTCTCTTTCTTTCTCTCTGAAAATTTCACGAACGTCTGGTATGCGTTTGATAATGTTTTTCCGTATTTTTCTAGTTTGATTTTTCCGCCCAAAGTTGGTTGTCACCAATTTCGAATCGATTTGATCGAATCTCCAATGCCAGCCGGTGATTATCCAGCTGGATTTGGAGTTTAACACATGCTTAATCATTCTAGGTAAGTCGGCAAAGTCACGGGCACGGGATATTTTTTCTGGGTTTAGAATGTTCTGGGCTAGTCGGATGAAGAAGAAGGCCAACCCAGGTCGGGTCGGATTGATCCGACCGACCCAGCAAACCCGGGTTGGTCTAAATTCGCAAATGCAACCCGATTTTGACCCTATTTTTTTATTTTAACCCCAAAATTGGATTCCTCATCACATTTTGCACCCAAATATGAGAATTTGCCCTAATTTTTGTCATAATTAAACCCAAAATTCTTAAATTGTAAATTCGGATCATTAGGGTTTTTGTTCAATTTAATATCTAGATGACCTGATTGGGAAAAATTGATGCCAAAATTGGATTACCCATGACTGATTAACCCTAGAAATGATGGTCTCAAGGTTCGACAATTTCAAATTGATCATAATCCCCAATTTGGGCTTAAAATCCTTAATTGTCAATTGAATTTTGGGGCTTTTCCGTTTCTTTGGTAAATTGTGCAATTGGATTGACCATTATGCAATTCAAGGTTCCAAAATCATTTATTGTGAAGACACTATGGCCTAGAAATGACTAGAAATGACTCAATTGAATTTTTTATTCAATTTGGGCTTGATTTTACCCAATTTTGGGAAAAGCACATTCCCAATTGAAATATTCTAGAATTGATGATGTATTGATGAAATTGGATTCAAAAAAAGACTAACGGATATTTTTATGGAATTTTTGGATTTCATTTGCTATTTTTCTTGATTTTCTCTATTATTTTGATTAAAAGAAAGGAAGGAAAAATTCATGAAAATTCTAAAAAAATTATTTTTGGTTTAGAAATAGGTTCCTAAGCTTGGCCAAGACTACTAATCCTAATTTTTTGATGTTTGGAAAAATTGGAATAATGAGCTAAAAAATCAGGTGTTAACAAAAATGTGTATGTGCTTAAGTCTGAAGCAGTTTATACTGGCTCCGTTCGTTTGGCGGAAAATATTCTCCTTTTGGAAAATATTTTCCTGGAAGTCATTTTCCTGGAAAATGTTTTCCCGGAACATAATTTTTCGGTGTTCGGCGACCAATATGAAAAAGTTTCGAAAAATATTTTTCGCCGGCGACTGGCGGCGGCGTCCGGCGGCGGCATCCGGCGGCGGCGCCCGGCGTCCGGCGGCGGCCGCGGCGGCGCCCGCGGCGGCGACTCTGGGGCCGACCGACGGCCAATGTCCGGCGTCTAGCGGCGGCGGCGGCGGGGCCGGCGTCCCGGCTGGCGATTTGCGGGCGGCGGCGGCCGATGCTTGGAGGCGCGACCGGCGGCGGCGGCGGCCGATGCTTGGAGGCGGCGGCCGGCGACCGGCGGCGGCGGCGGCTCGGCGATCAGCGGCGGGCGGCGACACGGCGACCTTAGTGAAGAAGAAGAAGAAGAAGAAGATCCGGAAAATGATTTCCGCTTTTGAAGAAGCGGAAGTCATTTTCCATAGACTTAGGCTATTTTGTGAGGGGGGAAGGAAAATATTTTCCCACGGAAAACGTTTTCCGCCCCCCGAACACCGGAAAACCCGAAAAATATTTTCCGGGAGAATATTTTCCGCCAAACGAACGGAGAATAAGTGTAGTTCTACTATCTGGGTTGACGTGGGTCTTATGGAGTGAGTTCCTTTTCGGTTCGTTGCGTGATACTCTAACCTTGATGGTGAGTTAGTTGGCCCATTGAGGAGCTTCAACTTAGACAATGGTGATCCCGCATTAGAAGGCGAAGTTATCGATCCATGATGTCTTCAGACTTTAGTCAAGGCAGACTTTTGGTGTAGAATCTAGTTGGAGGTACACAACCTTGACCTACCCAGTTTTTTTTTTTGGTACTTATATGATGTTTTGTCTGGGTTTGTAAATCTGATAAGAGTTATTAATAAGAAACAAAAGTATTTTGACTAAATTTGTTTGATATTCACGTTTAATACTTACTTCAGACTTTAACTTCCGCTGGCCAAATTATTAATAATATTAGGCTCCGTTCGTTTGACGGAAAATATTCTCCCGGAAAATATTTTTCGGATTTTCCGGTGTTCGGGGGGCGGAAAACGTTTTCCGTGGGAAAATATTTTCCTTCCCCCCTTCACAAAATAGCCTAAGTCTATGGAAAATGACTTCCGCTTCTTCAAAAGCGGAAATCATTTTCCGGAGCTTCTTCTTCTTCTTCACTAAGGTCGCCGGTCGCCGCCGCCGCCCGCCGCCCGCATCAGCTCGACCGCCGCCGCCCGCCGCCGCCGGTCGCCCGGCCCGCCGTAGCCGGTCGCGGCCGCCGTCGGTCGCCGCCGCCACCGCGGCTGCGCTTGGCCGCCGGCCACCGTCGCCGGCCGCCGCCGCCGCCAATCGCCGGCGAAAAATATTTTCCGAAACTTTTTCATATTGATCGCCGAACACCGGAAAATTATGGTCCGAGAAAACATTTTCCAGGAAAATGACTTCCGGGAAAATATTTTCCAAAAGGAGAATATTTTCCACCAAACGAACGGAGCCTTAAAAGACACATGTCACGCGTGACGTTCTTGGGCGTCACACATCAACTGTCACGTGTCATCCAATTCGGAAATTTGATGGAAACTAACGAATGATAAAATTGTCACAGGTATACCGGTCTGGGGTTTTTTGTGATCAAAAAATTAGTTTTAGATAAATTTATCATAAGTGTACCGATTTAAAGTTTTTCGTGGTATTAACCCATGTAAAAAAAGTAAAAGAAAATTATTATTTTTACCGTAACTGTTTTTTTTCCTTAACTCTATTATCATGAGTTTTGCAGTGCCAAAACGAAAAAACGAATGAAAGAAACTTTAGGAAACCAAATTATGAGCGTTGTCCTAAATTCCCATACCAGCTCCCAAAAACCAAACCGCCGCCGCCGCCGCCACCATCACCATCATCCACCGAAGACGAAGAAGAGAACTACGAAAAGCTGCTGCGATCTCTCTTCTTTTGCTCCATCGGCATCAGGTACGCCTCTTCACCTTCATTCTCTTCGCAGATCTCATTTCCCCCTTTCGGATCCGCTGAATTCTCCATCAGATCCATCCGATAGTGATTCGAATTTTTACGGATCTCGCCGATCAGCCCCGTTTGATCTCGAACCCCGAAGATGAATTCCAACTATGGCAAACCCAACAACCCGCAACGCAGCTCCGGTTCCCTCAACACCTTCGATTTTGACATCGGCATCGGTTCGAACAAGCCCAGGTCCCTGAACGATCAGAGGAACAAGACCACGACCACGACCACCTCCTCCTCCTTCTCGTACGCCCCCATGTCGTCGCCTGCGCAGCCCTCGAGGCCCGCGTGGCAGGCCAACAAGCCCTCGTGGACCCACCAGCCCCCCGCCGCCGCCGCCGCCGCCCCGGCTCAGTCGGCCGGGGCAGCGTCCCTGGGCGGGCCCACGTCGATGGTCGGCGACATCTTCGGCAAGAGCTGGTCGTCGTCGTCGGCGACGGGTTCTTTGGGGTCAGGGTTAGGGTTGGGGTTGGGGATTGGGATCGCGAAGAAGGACCCGAACTTGTTCGGGGATTTGGTTAGCTCGGCTTTAGGAGGGCAGGGAAAGGGCAGCAGCGGCAATGTCCCGTTGAAGAACACGACGCCGGCGGCGCCGGCGCCGGCTGCATTGGCTGGCAAGACTGCATATTCGATGGGGAATTTAGGAGATTCGCTGCCAAAATCTGGTAATTCGATGTACAATAGTGGAAGTTGGGGATCTGGTGGTTATAGTACTGGTGGCATTGCGGGTGTTAATCGGAATGGCGTGAATGCTAACAGTAAGAGCGCAACTCTCGGAGGTCCTTCGATGCAAAATATGGCTGCTGCATCTGGTGGTGGAGGTGGAACCAATACCAATAAGGATCCGTTCAGTAATTTGGTTGGTTTCGGATCGAAACAGCAGTCGGGCAGTCTTAACTCAACGAGCAAAGCTAGTGCTAAGACTGGCACCGGTAATCAGGAGTTTGGAGATTTTCAGAATGCTCCGACATCTGGTACAACATTCTCGTCGAGCGGGATTTCCGCAAATAAAAGCTATTTTGCTGCATCAAATATGAGCTTTGATTCGAAAATGGATGATTTTGGGATGCCTGCCAAGAATTTCAGTCAGCAGAATCAGACTCCTGTTCAGAGCTCAGGCACAGACAGTTTCGATGTGTTGTTCTCTTCATCCTCTGGCTCGGCATCTGTTGGTGGTGCCACTGGAGGACAGCAAGCTGTGGAAGTGGATGACTGGGGTTTGGATTCAGATTTTGGAGGAGGAAATGAGGGCGGCGGCTCCACCACAGAGCTTGAGGGGCTTCCACCGCCTCCTTCAGGCGTATCATCTTTAACCGCTATGAACAAGGGCATGGATAATCAGAAGCAAGGGCAATATGCCGATGCAATTAAGTGGTTGTCGTGGGCTGTGATTCTCCTCGAAAAGGCTGGAGATAATTCTGCCACCACGGAAGTCTTGTCGTGCCGAGCCTCATGTTACAAAGAAGTTGGGGAGTATAAGAAGGCTGTGGCAGACTGTACAAAGGTAAAGTGCCAATAGTTACTCACAGATTGAAATCTTCCTTATATTGATGAAGGTGGTGCATGGCGATTCCTTGGGGTTTGTTGGTTGTATCTGTCAGATATTTTTGTACCTTCGGTAAGATGACCTTATTATTTTGAGAATGATTCGTATGTCGTTTGAGCAGTGATTAGCTATTTTTCAGAACACACAAGCTTACCGATGTTTTCTACTATTTCAAAGAGAGAAATATTGAACTCTGAAAGCATTCTTCCCTGTCTGGGAGCTTAAGAATCAATCCTCTCGCTGAGACCCGCCTTATTTTAGGCATGTTGGGTTTGACTATGCTTAAGATTCCATATCTTTGAGATTAACATTGACAGAACCATGTCATGTGCCTACCCATGCTTAATGAATTTAGGCAGGCAGTATCTGTTTATCGTCTAGATTGGCAGCTATCAAAGATTGCATATGAACTTTTGAATCAGGATTGATGAAATATCTCTTAAGACATTCTATTTATATTATATTTGCAAGATTTTGCATTATTCCTCGTGAGAAGGATGGAATGAATAGAGGGCATGATGGGTGTTTTTGTTGAACAGGTGCTAGAACATGACGATGCAAATGTAGCCGTTCTTGTACAGCGAGCTCTTTTGTATGAGAGTATGGAGAAGTACAGACTTGGCGCAGAAGACCTGAGGACGGTGCTGAAGCTCGATCCTCTTAACAGAGTTGCTCGAAGCACTATTCATCGCTTGAACAAAATGGCAGATTAAGCAACCTGCTGAAACTTATTCGTATACTTCTTTTCCTCAAGCCATGAGCCATACTTATTCCCCTTCTCCAATTTTGTTGGGGGAATAGTAAAAATCTTATCCTTTGTCCGAGATTCAGTTTCACATTGGTTGTAAAACTTTTGAGTGTATCACGTATTGTATTTGCTTCCATTTTCATCGGATGCTTCCTGCAACTAATTCTTGATTGTCACTTCATAAAGGTTTGAGATTTTTGAGTTTTTCTCTACTGTCTTCGTCCCATGCATGCACGAGAATTCACCTTGTGGTCAATAGACGTAGCTCCTTCTTTATGTTTCACTGTAATACTCAGTGTACTTTTGAATGATTTGGTTATGCGTAAGTTGATCCCTTAGCAGTTGCGAGGTGGATGAGATTGAGATTTCCCTCACTTCACCCTTCATTTTCTTCTTGAGAAGGTTCTGCTATCGTCACTGAGAATGCCTCTTAGAAAGGAAATTTGATTTGGTTGGGAACTTTAGTGGATTTAGATTGCTGCATTGTGGATTAACTGCACTGTACTTCTTCATTAGTCATGATCTTACAATGGCTTCTTAAATCAACTGCATGACTGTTTTACTGAATATGATCTTCACATGTCTGCAATGTGGATGCCACAACTTGAAAAGCTTCCTGAGCACTGGATTTTTCAGCTGGAAATGTACTTTGAAATCTGAATCGCATTTCCTAGTAGCAATGGTTGTTCTTTTTCTATCTAATCATGCTGTGTCTATGCTTTCTCTCCCCCAGAGGAATCATACATTGAAGCAACTAAAAATACATATGTAGGAGATCAACATGTGAACCAATTATGCAGCAAATTGTGTGGCCTCTTCTGTAAGCACGAGTTTAGCTTGAATCTCTGTTAAATTGTAGTTGTACTGGTCCATTAGAATTGATCGGAGTAGTAATCTCGGGTCCTGAATGTTAATGCTACTAGATTGCTAGCTCCTCTTCAGCCAAACAAGCAGCAGTCATTCGAGGAATTTGGCAAGAATTGCACAGCCTACCAATTTTAGCTGGGAATTTGAGTGAAAGCGCCTGGATTACAAGTTTACAACAGCTAATTTTCGGCTTTTAAGCGGGGATTCCTCTCTTTATTTTTCCCTGTGAAGGTGACTAGCACCGTCTTGCATCGTTGCCAATTGAAGGATTTGAACTCACAGCCCATGGATGGAATCGAACTGGACAAGTGGGGTATTCATTCCTCACCCTTATGCATTGTTATGGGAAGATGTATTCTGGGAAGTACCAGGAACAAGAAAAAATTGTATTAAGAAGTAGATAAGATCTGCAATTAGCTAGATACTCTTAAAAAATAATAACCTCTAGAAATAGGGCATTCTTCTTCGAGAAGCCGGCGCCACGGTTGATTGAGGGTTTTCTTCAACGGTAGGGGTATCGTCCAAGGAAGCGTCCTGGCAGGGGCTAGCTTCCGGCATTTACCCTTACAATTCCTCCCAATCGTTGTCGAATCCAGATCATTGCACGGGCTGAGCCGACATGTATACATCATTGTTGCAGAACTCGCTAAACAAGTCCCTCGTCAATTGCACAGCGAAGTCCGAATTGAGTTGGGACAATCGGACGCGGTGGTTGTTGTTGTTGTTGTTGCTGTTTGCTGTTGTTGTTCTCAATTGCAATACTAAAGACGCAATTAAGTAATTATTGCGAGCAAGGAAATAAATGAAATTGACGAATGATTTTAGAGAGCAAGAGTGTTTGGAAGTGAGATTTTAGTGAAAATTAAGAGATGTTGAAGAATGAGAGTGATAGGGGGCCAACTTATAGAAGGTCAACAATTTTTTTCCTCAAACGCCGGCTGTTGTCCGCTGTTACTTGGGTCGACTTGGGTCACTGATCCATTGATTGAATTTTAGGGCCGAGGCCCCAACGATTCTTAATGATTGGGCCCATGTGGTAGCCTCAAGGCCCAACCCAAAATTTTAGAAAAAATTGGTGGGCTTGGGACAGCCGAGGCTGAAACCGGGCATCGGCCCAGGCACAGCCCGCCACCCGACCGGTCGTGCTTGGGCAGTGGCGCAGTCGTGGGGGGTCTGTGTCAGCACGGCCTGAGACATTTATGTACTACTTTTTTCGATCGTATATTAGGTTATATGTGAATATCGTGAAAAACCGGTTGAGATTTGACATTTATTTCCGACTTTTTCACCGATCAATTAAATAATATGCGAAATAAACCTCTTAGGCACAAAGGAGGAGATTGATTTGGATTTCCCAATCTTTACTTCACTACTGATGGGCCATCAGTCATGGCTATAAAAATGGGGACTGGAGTGCATAGCATGGTCGCTGATTTTGCTTCTCAGAATAAGAAGATTCAGTCACACAAGATATGGAAAAATAAATAGATAAATTAATAATTTAATAACAATAATAGTAATAATTATAATGTCTAAATATATATATAGTATTGCAAGCAAACAATTCATGAGGAAATGTTATAAGTTAATATCACGAAAATCTCTAAACTGGTATACCTGCAACAAATTTACCCCAAATTAATTTTTTAACCATAAAAAATCCCAAATTGGTACACCTATTACCCCAAACAAATTTTTTACTACGAAAAACCCAAAATAGGTCATTTGTGACAAATTTACCCTCCATTAAATTGAATTAGTACACTTGTAACAAACAGAGGGTAAAACCCCAAATTGGTTTACTCGTCAACTGCCATGTGTTATCCAACTCAGAAATTTAACGGTAAAATTTAACAGAAACTAATTGAGGGTAAAATAATTACAAATGTACCAATTTGGAGTTTTTTGTAGTCAAAAAATTAGTTTTTGGTAAATTTGTCATATGTGTATCAATTTGGAGATTTTTGTGGCATTAATCCAAATGTTATCTAATGCTGGTTAGGTTTTTTTTTACCCGATTCATATTTTTCTAACCGTTTCTGCAGCTAAAGTGTTTTGCAGTGTGTTTTTGGATGAAATGACTTGAAAGCTAAGTCCTGCACAATGCACGTGCTTTTCAATGACAATTCTTTTTCTCGCATTGAGGTATTCTTTAAGCACAAGTATCTTTAAAACTGCTACTGTGGTACGTCGTAATGCCTCTTTTGTATCCTCACGTGCACGACGTCTCCTTCTCTCCGCGTGTGATTTCACTATGCTTGTCTTTCACGTGTTGTGAAGAAAGAAGAACCAATGACCCGTTCATTGGTTATACGACAACTTGAAATTGTCTGGAAAATGTCTTGAAATCGAAGAATGGTTGCTGAAATTCAAGGAAGAATCAGTAGATCTACCGTCGTTCGAGGCCGTTGCGGCTGTTCTGTGGTTTATTTGGTGGGCGAGAAACGACTTTATTTTCCGGAGAAAACATCCCAATCCAGAAATCCTTCTTGTATCAGCGCACAATATGCTCAGTAATTGGTGCAAGTGGAATCACAAAGAAAAGGAAACTAATTAAGAAGGAAAAGCCCTACCTCGACGTAGGCATCCTCCAAAGGAACGAACTTCAAAGGCCAATTTCGACGGCTCTTACATAGAAGGATCGAACTCGGGCGCAGTAGCTATTGTTATTCGAGATGCGACGGGAGCTCTGGTGGACGGAGCAGCAAGAACGGTACCGGCATCGTCTGTGAGTCAAGCCGAAACCCTAGGCTTGCTCGCTGCTCTCTCTCTCCTCGAAGCAAAGAACCAAGAAGATATTGTACTTGAATCTCACTGCATGTCTTTAGTTCACGTGGTTAACAGCTCAAATCAAGGTAATTAGGAAATGGAAGCTCACAGGGTCATGGGCCGGTTCAAAAACATTTCTCTAGCCCACTGCAAAAGAGATTCCACTAGTGTGACGGACTAGATTTGTAAAGCCCATAAACAAAAAAATCTACCCTCGAATTGGGTGTCCAAACCCCCCCAACCTCTTTGGGATCTACTTTGTTTTGATGTCCTTGACGTGGGCTTTGGTATTTGAAGTACTTTCAGATTTAATAAAATTTTGTTTGACCCAAAAAAAAAATTTCCTTACACAACAAGATATTTGAAATCTCTTTCACTCTTTTTGTCGAATGATCGTACATTTCCAGCTAGAAAATTGATAATAATGTGATCCCCATATGCATTAAAATGTAGAGGCCTTACGAATTGATTATCCAATCGGCAGTTTTTTGCACCATTGTTCTGTTATGCTAATCGAGCAGGTGTCAATTTCTTAACTAACAACCATTATATGTTTATTTTTTCTTAGGACGGTCGAGAAAACTGAGTTATGCTTATTTGCATCGGTTCTGGTGAGTGACTTCCCCGCTAGAGTACACTAGAGCTCCGATCACCATACTTAGGCTCCATTCGTTTTACAAGAAACAATTTCCAAGAAACATTTTTTGGATTTTATGCGTTCGTTTCACGGAAAATAAACTAGTTATTGAAAATATTTTCCACCAATAAAAAAAACACCTTCAAAAATGAGGAAAATGGTTTTCGTTTTTCAAAAAGTGAAAAACATTTTTTATATCTTCTTTCGCCTCAATTTCTTTCATAAAACACATTTTAATTTTATTTTTATTTTTTCTTTCATTTTGTCTTATTTATTTTTTAAAAAAATCGAGTTTTTATTTATTTTAAATCTTTTAAATCTTTTTCTTTTCCTTTTTTGTCTTCTTTTTTTTCTTTTCTTTCTTCCTCTGTCGGTCACTGGTCACGGCGACAGCCGACGACTGGCCAAAGGCGAGGCTCCAGCTCGCCGGCCTCGGGCAACAACTGGCAAAGGAAGAAATGAAAGAATAAAAAAGAAGAGTAAAGAAAAGGCAAAGAAATATAAAAAATTATTAAAAATTAAAAATAAAATTAATTAAAAATTTGATTTTCTAAAAACTAAAATAAAATATTATTAAAAGAAGTGCAAGGAAGAAAATTAAATCAAATTTTCTATATCGAACGACAGAAAATTTTTTCCAATTCATTTTCAAGTCTCAGCTGAATACTAGAAAATATTGTCATTTTCCTAAAAAATGACTTTCTGAAAAACATTTTCTAGAAATATCACATTTCCGCAAAACAAACGGAGCCTCATATAAATTCAAGCTTTTGCTTGCAGAGAAATTCGAAATTTGCTCAAAGTTATAGGTGATCAACAGGTAGGCAAACAATTACCTTTATGAGATCTTTTGTGTTCGGAAACCCATAATTCATATTTTCCTTTGATGTTTAATGAATGAAGAGTTTCATTTCGACAAAATATAAAAGATAAAACGGC